CTGGGGAGGGATTCACATGCACTGCTGGGCTCCGCAGCGCTCGGTGGGCTCAGCCTCTTCACATCCAGCATTCTGGGGACGCCCGATGAGAGGCACCGGTCTCTGTCCCCACAGAGCCACCGAGGGGGACCAGCACCTGGGTGATGCCAGCAGCAGCTTTAGCACTTGGGTACCCGCTGCACGGCCCTCGGGGTGCACAGGGTGTGGGTTTTCCCACCAGCAGCACAAGCTCCCAGAGCCGAGGTGGATGTGGAGCAGGGACACGTGGGTGCATTCGCAGGTAATGCCACCACAGCAAGGGCCCAGCTCCAGCCCGGCCAAGCACAAGCCCTGAGCGAGCACTGTAGCTTTAGGAGCCCATTGCACCCCATTCCCACCCATCCCAGGGCACAATCTGTATAAAAGGTGGGAACTAAGCATTTAACCTGGCCAGACCTCACTAAAGCAGAGCCTTAAGCCATTTTGCTTAAAGACTTTCTATGTCCTCCCAGTAATAAACACTTTTTCTCCATGATCTACCTGGGGCACAGTTGGACTCCTCTGTGATGGCTGGTTCAGAAGGGGGATGCTGAGGAGGAAGGTCCCAGCATGGGGAAGGTCTGGAGGCTGCTGCAGCCCAGGACAGAGTGGGCTGGGGACCACCCTGCTGCCTTGCAGGGAGATTACAGGGAGGGACCAGAAACCCAAATGCCACAGCAGAGGTCTGTACGACAGAGGCACTCACATGGAGCCTGGTTCACTGCAGCCCCTTCACTCACCAGGTCTGGGAGCACCAGGTCCAGGAGCTTACTCTGAGCCTGGCACCAGCTGAACATCACAAACCTCAACTCCTCCCCAGACCTGCCCTATTTAAACCTTTCCCAGGGACACAGCCCCAGCTGGGGAAGATGCTGGGGATGCCCAGCTGGGTCACCAGCACCTCTGCTGGGAGACAGAGCATGGTTCTGGGGTCCCTGTCACCCCTCTCCCATGAGGGAGTGTGTTCCCCCTGGAGCCAGACAGGGACAAGGACAAGTGCCTGCAGGGGGGTTCCGGCTCTGTGTGTGATGTGGTGCCACAGTGAAGGAGCTTCCCGGGAAGCAGGGACTGCTGGCTCCCAGGAGACACCAGCATGGGGCAGAGCATGCCCATCAGTAACTAATAATCACTCATTCAGCCCTACGTGGTGGCTGAAGGTGAGCACCCAGCCGGGTACCCTGAGGGTCCCTTAGCGCTCTCCGCGCTGGGACAGGGGCAGTGCTGGGCCCCCCACGCCGTGGGAGCTGCAGGGGATGCACAGAGCGGCGGGGCAGGAGGGGCTGGTGGTGGTTATGGTCTTACACCACCGGATGTGTTACACCGAGCTCCACCTTTTGGCACCCTGAAGCTCCCTTTTTTTTGCAGGAGGGTAATTTAGGAGGTTCTGCAGCAGCTCCTGGGAGCCCCGAGGTTCCTGCGTGAGCAGCTCCTCGGCAGAGCTTCAGGTCCATGGTTCCTCCCCGCTGCCTGCAGGGCTGGTGCTGGCTTGGGGTGACCCAGGCAGGCTGGGAGCCCGATTCCCACCTTGCTGGACAGACACCGAGCCCATGGGGTAACCCGCACCCTCCACCGTGGGGTCCTGCTCTCCTCCCAGCTCCCTCATCCCCAGGCCAGGGGTTTCCAGCACCTTGTACTCCCCCAGCACCCCGTACTCCCCCAGCACCCCAGGACCACACACCCTGGATGGATGTGTGCCTTGTGCATGGCTGCACCCTCCTGTCAGCTCCATGCCAGGACATGCTGTACACCCAGGGTGTCCCTGTTCATGCTGTAAACCCACTCAGAGCAGTGGCACCTCCAGCCCAGCTCTGTGGCACAGCGAAAGGTATTTATTTTGGCAGGTCTGGTTTGCACAACTGGAAAAACCCAGGTGAGGGCAGGGTGAGCAGTGGGTTAATGTTTGACTCCTGAAGCTCATTTTGGCATGAAAAGTTTAAGGGTTAAGCAGCTTCGCCTTCTGTGTGCAGGGAGCAGCATGGAGGGATCTCCGAGTACCCCAGAGCATCCCCACTGATCCCGGGGTAATCAGGTCCCACAGATCCTGCGTGTCACATGAGATGAAATCCCTGCTGATAGGAGTTTATCCCATCAGGCTGGGGCTGACTATCATTATCCCCTGGCCTTGGATGTAACCTGTGCGAGCCACTGAGAGAGGCTGTGCTGACTCTCTGCCCATCGCCCCACTTCCCAAGGGGAGATGTGGATTCTCCATCAGTCCATTCCGGGCCCTTTCCTCCCTCAACTAGGACTCCCCCAGCTCCCAGCGCCCAGAGCCACATCACCTCTTCCTCCTCTTCCTCCTTCTCCTTGCCGCAGGCAGAGCCCAGGTTACCCACGGCCCTGCACCCTGAGCAGGCACAGGCAGGGTGGGCTCTGCTCCACAGTGAAGGGGCCATGGGCAGGCTCAGTAAGGACAGTGAACACCCATGTGTGCCCCGTGTGCTCTCAGTGCCATGTGGCCACATCCCCATGTCCTTCGGGAAAGCCTGAGGCTGGGTGCTGTGATGCTGCTTATTCATTTCAAGGCTCCACAGCCCTGAATGTGCCACCAGCTCTCAGGAGCCTCCTCCTCCTCCCTGCCAGAGGTGACTTTCTCTGACTCAGAGCTGGAAAGGAAACCAGCCGGCTGCAAAAGGAGATCTGGTGGCTGCAGGATGGGCAGAGCTGGGTTTCCCCGTGCAGCGACACGTGGCTCTGCAGCAGTGATCATAGAATAACAGAATGGTTGGGCTGGAAAGGACCTTGAGATCGTCTACTTCCAACCCCGCTGCTATGGGCAGGACACCTCATCCAGAGTGAAATACCTCTTCCTCCCGAAAGGACAGCTGGGAGGGAAGGGGGACAGACCCCACTGGTAGCTGTGGCGTTGGGGAAGGATGCTCAGGAGCCAGCCAGGAGCAAAGGGGCTGTCCGGGACCCTCGTGGGGCCCAGCCCAGTCCCGGTGCTGACACCCCCGTCCCTGCAAAGCAGTGCAGGCACGGGAAGCTCCCTGAGGCGTGGGAAGGTGCCCAGAAGCACCATGACCACGGGCACCGTGTCTGGCTTCTGCCCGGAACCCGGGACCAGCGCGGGATGAGTCAGGCTCCATCCCCGGCCCCCCGCAGCCCTTGGCACTGCTCATCTCAGCTCTTCCCATCCAGTTCCCGTTCAGCTCAGCACCCAGAGCCCTGCAAGGCAGACGCGAAGGTTAGAGCAGAGCAGAGATTCGGGAGATGGGGCAATGTCACTGCTCACAGCAGCCTGGAAACCCTGCGCCTGTTCCCACAGCTCCCCACGCCCGCGGGCTGAGGGGTTGGTCCCATGGGAGGACACAGCCCAGGGGCAGGGATGTGTCTTGGTCCCCGAAGCATTTTTTTAGGGGCAGGGATGTGTCTTGGTCCTCGAAGCAGAAGGATGGGGGAGTGGGGTCCCTTGGCCCCCGCAGGGAGTGTGTGGCAGTCCTTAAAGTCTGAGAGGAGGCACCCAGGAGGAGTGCAGAGGAGTCCCTTGTGC